TAAACAAGTTTTCAATTATCACAAAACTTCAAGTTCCCAAAATGAGAATAAAACATAGTGCAGTAATTAAGCAACGGTAAATCAATATGTGACTCTTGGTTAATATTTAGGGGTGTTACAGTTATGGTATTAACTCCCGTAATTCGGCTATATCAGGTGCTCCATATACGAATTTGCCTACAACAACATATTGTAGATTCTAAATAATATTCATCTTGTGCACTTAATTTTCTATCAATTTAAAGGTATGAATACCATCAATGATGTCTGCTTTCTTCATTGGGATAGGCTCTACCTCCACATTATCGTTTAACTCCTTGTTTTTTAAACCATTGTTCCTAACAATGTCTACGAATTTGTTCTTGGGAGCTGTCAATAGTTTCATATTTTGTATGATAGGGGTTTGTAAAGAATTGAGTTTGATTGGGGGGAGGGGGGATTGTGATGAAAAAGCTAAAATCAGACTAGCCATCGACAGTGGCTGGTCGTCGACCGAAATCATGAACACTGCTAGAGTTTAGGAAAGAAATTGTCAAAACAGACTGAATTCTCTTTTATTTTTTCCTTTTTATTAATAAAACATCTTTTTATTCATTCAATCATCTGTGCCAATTACAAGGCCCTTGGCTCAAAATTACCAAATCAAAATCCCAAAGATTCTAAAACTCACCTACCCGTCCCAACAAAATCTTTCCCCATTTGTCTAAATTTGCTATCAATTTTGGAAAGTGATCCGACAAACTTCTATCTCCGCCGCTGCCATAGCTCGTTGCAATCACTTTAGTCTCGTCCTTCTCAAATGATTCTTCAATGATCTGAAACCAACGAAGCCTCTCTACTCTTTTATGATGGATTTCCAGGTATGAATTTCTTCTTATTTTCCTTTCTCTGTGATTTCCTTTCTTGAGTTGTTCTCCCTTCCTCAGGGTATCTGTGTGCTACTTCCTCCAAGAATTGATGAACGTTGATGTAAATCGTGTGAAATGGAAGCCTCCGGAGCCCTTTAGTTGAGTACTTGTCCTCTAGATCTGTAAAAATATCCCTCCCCCCTTTGTATTTGAATTTGTTTGTTATGGTTGTAACTAGCTCACCCATTAGCATCACCGTGACCCACATATCTACCAATTGTGGTTTGATCTTACTGTCTTTGTTCTCTTGCTTTGCTGCTGTGATATATAAATGCTTGCTTACTGTTGCTGCTTTGCCTCCCTTCTTGCATATATTTCTTTATATGATTTAGCTTATCTTCTGATCCTTTTACTTTCATAGTATGAATCATTGTGGATTAATTCTGCGTGTTCTAATCCTCTAGTTTGGTAATCGGGCTTTGTCCGAATTAAGGATCCTTCTTTCCATCAGAGGAAGTTCGTGCCAATTATGATACTCATGATCCATTTGTGAATAAATAGCTATATTAGCCAAAGAATCAGCCAAACAATTATCTTCTCTGTATATATGAGTGATTGTTGCTCTAGTCTTCTGTATTATTTCCCTTATCTCTTCTACCATCTCTATTAATTCCCAAGGTATCCTCCAACTCTTTAGTATGATTTTCTTAAGACTTAGTGAATCCGTCTCAATTATGCCATCCGGTAACCTTTTCTTGAGACACTCTCTAAGTGCTGAAAGTATGGCCATTGCTTCAACTTCCTGATTTGTTGCCAAGCCTAACCCTTTAGCTTTGGCATAAATTAGATCACCCCCAGTGTCTCTAATATAAAATCCATAAGAGCTCTTCCCTGGGTTACCTCTACATGCCCCATCTGTGTTACATTTTACTTGATGTGCTTCTGGTGGTCTCCAGGTTACACTCAAGAAGTGTAGTTTGGGTTTGTAAGTGGTTAGGCTGAGAATGAGTTCCTGCCAGGACTATCTTATCTTCTTTATCCATGAGAATTGCCTCTTCACCATCTGTCGCAACACTTCCATTATCATGTCCACCATTCCTTCACAATTGATGCCGCTACCATGCTTGAATACATTTATTCTTTTCCATAAACTCCACATGATGATAGCTGGCATGACTTTATATATGCTCTTCAATTTGTATGTTGCCTCATGTTTCCACCAAGCTATGATGAGCTGATGTAGATGCATCCCCTCTATGTTTATCCCTGCAAAATTATCAAAAATCCTCCATAGCTTGGCAGCTATGAGGGCTATTAGAAATAAGTGGGTTATTGTTTCCTCCCCCTTCTTATCACAACACCAACATCTGGAGACTATGTTAATCTTCATCCTTTTCAGGTTATCATATGTGGAAATTCTTCTCTTCCACACTCTCCACAAAAAGAAATTGATCTTAAAAGGTAGTCCTCTGTTCCAGATTAAATCATAATCCCTCCTTTGTTCATGTTTACTTCTCATCAAGTCCCAAGCTGACTTCACCTTGAATCTACCTTGTGAGTTTGCCATCCACCATGCTACATCATTCCCAAACAGTAAGCTTGGTGGTGAGATGTTCTCCATGATGTAATTTGTCATCTCTGTTGACAGATTTTGTGACAGTTTATGTCGATTCCACCCATCTTCTGTACTAAACTCTTTAACTTCCACCTCTTCTTCTTTTGCCCCTTCTTCAATGTAATATAAGGCTCCTTGTTTAAGTCCAATTGTCAAACCAGAAGCTAGAGTTACCAGACTTAACTTGCCACCATATTTCCTGTTCTACCTTCTCCCTGACTGGTGTCATTTTCCTCCACACATGTGATGTCCAATATCCTTGAGCTAGAATATGGTGGTACTTCTTGCAGTATTTGTTCCACATATAGGATGCCCATAATGAATTTGTGGAAGTTCTAAAATTCCACCAGAGCTTAGCAAAAAGTGTCTTTGAGACATCATGTAATGATCTCCACCCCAGACCTCCTTCCTTTGTTGGATAACACATTTTATCCCGTGCCACCCAGTGGTTGTTCTTAGCACATGTTGTGTTAGCCCAAAAGAATTTTGCAAAAATTCTATGCAACTGATTAGTGACCCCAGCTGGTGGGTTCATGGCTGATAAAATATATATTGGCATAGATTGTAATACATGTGCTATCAACACATACCTGCCTCCAAAAGATAGTAGCCTGTTTTGCCAAGAGCTAATTCTCTTAATCACTTTTTTAATCAAGGCCTCAAAGTGGAATATGTTCTTCCTTCCATAGAAAATGAGGCAACCCAGATATGTGAATGGAAAAGAACCTTGCTTAATACCTGTAATTCTTCTTATTTTGCTGCAGATTCCAACTGACACCTTTTCATGTAGGTAAACTAGACTTTTGTCAAGGTTAACCATTTGTCCAGACACCTTTTCATATCCTCTCAACACCTTCATCATCTTTTTTCATGAAGTGGACAAAACAATATAGTATCATTTGCATAAGACAAGTTATTAATCTCTGGACTCCACTTTGGTACTCCAAATCCCTTAAAATCTTGATCCATGAATAAATGGTTGAGGTTTCTAGCCAAAACCTCAACTACAATGATAAAGATGGTTGAGGTTTCTAGCTTAAACCTCAACTGCAATGATAAAGATGGTTGGTGATAGTGGATCCCTTGTTTCGCGTTTGAACTTTTCTTCAAACAAGTTTTCAAACAAACTCCATACATTCTAAACTTATCAGCTTACAAAATGTCCAGAACTATATAAAAGAGTAATAAAAATAAGAAAATTACTTAATAATGTTTTTAAATACAATTAGTTCATACATTCTAGACATTATTTGAAGAACATATTATGTCTAATTTCTAACATGTCTATTCTATTGTTTGAACTGCTTACTATCATATTACTAAAATAATTATTCATTTTCATTCTCACACTTGGTTTTTCAGAAAGTTTTTGCAACAAGGTGAATCTCAGTTTACTATGCTTTTGCGTATGTGTTGCTTTCTATGAAAATCTACAAAAGGAAAGGGCAAGACATCCAAAGTTTCAACAACGTATGTCACAATCAGCCATACTAGCTCCATTCTTACTAAGTTATATCTCCACAACCTAAAACACTTCTCTTTGCAACTGCAAATATTTTTTCAACTACAAAGCATCAAGATGACTTACTGCTACCATCTGTTTTGTCTTTTGTGTACAAATATGTAAATATGTATAAAGCATAACGTAAACACGCATACGCAGTGCAATAGCAATTGCTTATATATATTACCAACCTATTATGATAATTACTGTCAAATATGTGTTGGGCCTGTGTGCACGAGTATCCATCATCTAGTAATATTTTAAAAAATCATTATAATTGAAAAAGTTCTCATAATACTAGATATGGACCCCATGTCAGCACGGGCCCAATACATATTACTCTCTTAGTTTCAATGTATGCGTCTTAGTTGAAATTTAGAGAATCATTCAAAAAAATTTAATGATTTTTAAATATTTTAAATTGTTAGTTATTGTGATTATAATAATCTTTACATAGTTTTCAAATAATATATATTATTCTTTATGTCCCAATTTATGTGGCACCGATAGAATTTTAAGAGTCAGCCATATTTTTATATTAATAAAAAAAATTTATGTCTTTTAAAATTTAACTATTTAAGTTGTTAATTATCGTGATTTATAGAATATGTTTTCGTAATTTCAAATATCCAAAAGACAAAATAAATAAATTAATTAAAACAAAAAAATATAAAAATTACATAAATGTGTTTGGCTAGAAGCATGCACGCCAATCATGAGGTGTTTTAGTTCCAACATAGCATATAGCATGTTAAAGAACACGAGATTAAATGACATGTTTTAAATTTAAAAATCTTTTTATTTTTCTAAACTTCATTTAAAATCAAAATAAGTCAAAAAAATTGAAACTAAAGAAATGAAGTATGATTTTTGAATTCCTTATTTCATCTCTATTTATGTTTTTTTTATAAATTAAATTATATAGTGTAAATAGTAAATAATATTTGACAAAAATTTGTATGAATTATAGAAGCAACTAAATACCAAAAGTTGTACCCAGCAACGGTTCAAAAATCCTAATTCCCTCCAAAAACCCAAATTGAATTTCTTCAAAATCATTTGCAGAAATGGCTTCCAAATCTCTAAAACCTCCAAAACAACCACCAAAAAACCCTAAAAAACAATGGTCACTCAACGATTTCGAGATCGGAAAACCCCTCGGAAAAGGCAAATTCGGCCGTGTATACCTCGCCCGCGAAGTTAAGGTAATTTCAATCATTCTCGTTTCGTGATATGCGCATTAGATTCAGCAAGTACCTAATATGAGTTCGGTTTCCATAAACAATGTAAATATGTGCTAGTATTAGATTTAGAATCCAGAAAGTTGAAATTTTAGTTTTGTTTTATTAGAAGAAGAAAAAAAGTGTTTTGTTTTGATGAACTTGAAATTTTACAGAGTGGATTTATAGTGGCCTTGAAAGTCATATTCAAGGAGCAAATAGAGAAATACAGGCTGCATCATCAACTTAGGAGGGAAATGGAGATTCAAACCAGCCTTCGTCATCCCAATGTACTGAGGCTATATGGTTGGTTTCACGATGAGGAGCGGATTTACTTTATTTTGGAGTATGCTCATGGCGGTGAGCTGTATAGGGAGCTAAGGAAGACCGGTCGCCTGTCTGAGAAACAAGCTGCCATAGTATGTCACATCCTATTGCTTGCTCTACTCATATAAGATTTGAAACAAAAGCATATGGTTCATTTGCAGTATTCTGATTTGTTTATGTAATTTGTTATAAGCATATATTCATTGATTCTAGTGTTAGAGTGCTCCATATTATTTAATATTTGAATGACACGGGTACAAATGAAGCGAAATGGATTGTGAGATTCTCATTGCTGACTCAACTAGCTTGGGATTGAGGCGTAGTTTTGTTGTTTAGTTGTGAGCTTTTAAATTGTTTCAACTGATCGCCTCTTCCCCCGAACCCAAACAAAGAGGATAGAGATTCAGTTCTTTCGTTATCTATTACTATATGACATGTAAGGTATGGTCTTTTAAGTAGTTTACTTGAAAGAAGGTGCAATTTTGGGTTGCATTTGTATCAGTTGGTATTTTTTCATTTTCATAGTGTCTTGTTTATGTTATTTCTTCTGTGCTTAATGTTGAACAATGAACTATTGTTATCATTTACTATTTTGTCCTTTTTATGACTCCAGAGTTCATCTGAAAATTGCTTATGGAATAGTCGAACACATAATTACATTTATGTAGCAAACATTATTCAGTGTTCAACTTCTTTCCTGTTGCTTTAGGTTTGTTCTTTGACTTTTGATACTTTGGTTGTTTCTTTTGTAGTATATTGCAAGTCTCACACAAGCACTAGCGTACTGTCATGAGAAGCATGTTATTCACAGGGACATAAAGCCAGAAAACCTGTTACTTGATCATGAGGTAACTTCTTGATAACTGACTGTCTTCCTTTGCCACATCTGCTAAGTTTTATTAGCACCATTTCATAGAAAGAAGAAAAAATACACACTTATATATATGGCTAATTTGAAAGTTACACCTGTGTTTTTACTGGAGTTAACAGTTTGAACCGTCTACCCTTTCATTTTGGCAACACTGATATACAAGCTAATTTCTGAGGAGCAAAATATAAATCGACTTTAGTTTCCAATGTTTGTGTAGAGACAACAGTGGAATACAAGGAAGTTCTGACAGTTCTACTTGTTGATGGTCAAAATGCCTTTAGTCATTGGATTCTAAAGTTGAAGATTGGCATGTATTAGCTAACTTTCACTTTATTCAATTGTTTTCTGCAGCAGTTAATAAAGTAATAAGACACCCTGCCTTTTTCAAATGTTTTAGACCCTAATCACTTTGCTAGAGATGAACATACAATTACAGATTAGTTTATCATTCATTGTGCTCTCTAGAGCTCATGAGTCATGACCAGCTTGTAGAAAACGCATAGCCTTCATCATGTTTCTTGCATTAATGTGTATTGGATTAATCTTTCAAATTACATGAATTTGTTTTGAATTAATTATGAGAGAAGTACTTTTGAAGCATTTATTTCAAATGAGCCAGAGTATTTTTTTTTAAAAAAAAATTATGTTGGGCCAAAGCCTATTTTATGGATAGTGATGAAAAGGGAAAGTAACAAGGTCTGTTCAGACAAAAGAAATAACAAAGTAAAAAGAAAGGAGAAGGGTTATGGAGGCTTCCATTTCCTTCTTTATTGCAGCTTGTCCCTCTTCTTTGAGAGAATAGGTATGCCTTTGTTGCTCAATCTAAAATCTATCTTGTTTGCTTTATGAATTATGGAACCAATTTTGGTTGCCTTGTCTTATTTGTGCAAAGCTCTTCGATGCCTTCTCTGTAGCTTCAAATAAATGGAGGTGCTCTGCTCTGTTGTCCTACAGATTTTGTAGTTACTCTTGAAGCTTGAGCAACTCCTGTTATTCTATGCACCATTTCTGATTGGACTATTTCAAAACTCGTGTTGTTGTCGCCTGTAATCTTCTTAAATAAGCTAGTAGGAGCCATTTGAAAACTTGTTGTTTCTATCCTCTTGTGTGGATTTGTCTGTGTGATCTTCATTTTGCTCTGTACTTATGAAAGATTATTACATCTGTGTAATCCTACTGGTCTTTATTCTCAGATTTGGGATCTGAGATTTGTAACTATTGAGGATTTTTTTCTTGCTTGTACTGGTAATTCTGCAAAAGAATCATAGTGTAATATACCTTCATTATCCATCGCATGATTAGCTAGAAAGTCTGCCAACTGATTATCCTCTCTGAATATGTGTGTGATTTGGGCATGAGTGATGTGCATGTTTTCACAAATTTCTTCTATCATGTCATTGATTTCCCATGGTATCCATTGCTTTTGAATCATCCTCACAACTCCCAATGAATCTGTTTCTATGATTGTATTGTGGACATTAGCGGATTTGCAGTATCTTGTACCTTCTAGAATTGCTCTTAACTCTGCTTCTATGTTAGTGGTCTTGTGTATCTCCTTTGTTTGAGCAAAAATCAAATCCCCTCTCTCGTACCTTATGCAGTAGCTATATGAGCTTCTCCCAGGATTTCCTCTACTAACCCCATCAGTGTTGATTTTCAATCTTCCCATTGGTGGTAAATCCCATATGACCTTAGCATAGTACAACTTGGGTCTATAATTGCTTAGGATTCTGATCATCCCTTTCCATGCCGATGGCATATTAGAAATCTATGGAAACCTTACTCTTGTGAACTGATATATCAATTGGTGTATTTGATGTCAGTCTACTGTAAGAGACCTCTTTCCCGTGTTTGATAGAGTTTCTTCTTTTCCAAAGTTCCCAGTTAATGAAGATAGGAGTGACTTTTAGGACTGTTCCACCAAGTAATAAGTACTTGAGAGAGCTGCATTCCTTCCATAGAAACACCTGCACATGAAGCAAATTGCCTCCATAGCTTTGCAGCTATTGGAGAAGTTAGAAATAACTGATTCATTGTTTCTTGTTTGTAGTGTACACAACACCAACATCTAGAAACAATATTTATGTGCATTTTCTTGAGATTATCATCAGTAGAAATTCTCCCTCCCACCACTTTCCACATGAAGATACTGACTTTGATAGGCAACCCTTTTTCCCAGATGGATCTATATACTTCCTGCTTAGTATTTTCAGGTCTCAAATATTCCAGTGCACTCTTGACTGAAAATTCTCCTGAGTTATCAATGGTCCATATTGGAGTATCATTCCCTTCTTCTAACATAGGAGGGTTGATATTGTCCCTGATGTGTTGAACCATAACCTCTGCTAGATTTTCATTCAGCTTTTCAATCTTCCATACACCATGTAGTACATAGCTTGTCACCTCATCTTCTTCCTCTATCAATCCATCAGGGAGAGTGAAGTTCAGCGCACCAAGCCCTGTCCAGTTTTCAAACCAGAAACTAGAATTCCCTTGTTTAGGTTTCCACCAATTCATGTGTTCTATTACCTCCCTAGTTTGTATCATCTTCTTCCAGATATTGGAACTGTTTCTTCCTTCTGCAATGACTGGGTATAGCTTTTTGCAATATTTATTCCACATATATTTACTCCATAGGCTTGTAGTGGTTCTAAAATTCCACCATAGCTTAACAAATAGGGCATTTGAAGTATCCTTAGGGATCTGAATCATAATCCTCCTTCATCCTTTGGTAAACATAGAGTTTCCCAAGCCACCCAATGTTTATTCTTAGTCCCTGGTGTATTATTCCAAAAGAAATTAGCAATAGTTTGATGGATCTGTTTAATCACTCCTACGAGGGGATTAATAGGTGAAAGTATGTAAATTGGCATAGTTTGTAGAACTTGTTTGATCAAAATATATCTACCACCAATGAGAGTAATCTATTCTGCCACGATTGTACTCTATTCGTAATCTTCTTCACCAGATCTTCAAAATATGCAATCTTCCTCTTTCCATAGAAAATAGGACATCCTAAGTATGTAAAGGGGAAACAACCTTTTTTCATAGCTAAGGTATTTTGAATTCTATTTGCAATGTGATTTTCAGTCTTATGGTGGAGATAAAAGTAGCTCTTCTCACTATTGATCATCTGCCCTGAAGATCTTTCATATCTTTTCAGAATTCTCATCATTTTCTTCAGTGACTTATTATCTCCTGAGCAGAAGATGATAGTATCATCTGCATATGAGAGATGATTGATCTGTGGGCTCCATTTTGGCATACCATAGCCTTTGAAACCAGGATTCTCATGGAGAGAGTTTAAGCCTCTAGATAAAACTTCTGCAGCCAATATGAACAAAGTAGGAGATAGAGAGTCACCTTGCTTTACTCCTCTAGAGGATTTGTAAAAACCCTTACTTTGTCCATTAACTAGTACTGAGTACCATAGATTGGAGACTAGCCTCCAGATCATGTATATGATAACTGCACTGAATCCAAACTTTCTGAGGACTTTAGTTAGAAACAACCAGGATTGCCTGTCATAGGTTTTGGCCATGTCTAGTTTGATCACCACATTCACATTCTTGGCTCTAATTTTGATGTCCCTGATAAAATACATTTTCTATTATGGTTCTACCCTTAACAAAACCTGTTTGAGAAGATGAAATTAGAGAAGGTAGGATCGCAATCATTCTTTCATGCATTACTCTAGAGAAGATTTTGTTGACAAAGTTGCTCAAACTTATAGGTCTCATATCTGCAAATGTGTTGACAGAATCCTTTTTGGGTAAAAGCACTAAATTTGTGTGTGTATGAACTTAGGCAGTTCATATCCACATAAGAATGCTTTAACCATAAGAGTAATGTCTTTTCTGATAATACCCCAACACTTTTGGTAGAAGACTCCAGTAAAGCCATCAGGTCCACTGCAACTGTTCCCGTTAAGAGTAAATACAATCTTTCTAACTTCCTCCTCTGTTGTTAATGCTTCAAGAGTTAGGCTCTGTTCCTCTGTAATATTCTTTGGGATATGATTTAAAATCTGAAAATTTGTAGGCATTCTTTCTTCCAGAAACTGATTTTCAAAGAATCTCACTGCCGCATCCCCCATCTCTTCTTTTCCTCTAATCCAGATCCCCTGATTGTTTTGAATTCTCTGCAAAGCTAATCTCTTTCTCCTTCCCTTTACATATGAGTGAAAGAATTTAGTATTTTTTCTCCCCATCCTTAAATCATCGCATCCCAATTTTGTGTTTCCAAAACTGTTCCTCTAATTGTAGGAATTCAAAGAGGAGCTCCCTGTTAATCAGCGAGGGCTCTGTTTCAAACTGCATCTCCTTAACTCTGATAGTGTCCTCAATTGTTGCGATCTTTTGAAATATGTTCCCATATGTGTTTTTGCTCCACTGACTCAATGCCTTCTTCACTTTTTTGATCTTGTGTTGGTATATATAAAAGGGATTACCAGTGAAGTCAGCTGTCCAATTTTGTTCTATCACCCCCATAAAGGTCTTGTGGTTAGCCCAAAAGTTCAAGAACTTGAATGGTTTTATCACAACTTGGACCATAACATTGCTCTCCAAATGAAGTGGGGCATGGTCTAAACCTTGTCTGATGAAGTGAGTAACCTTATTTGTTGGAAATAGATCTAGAAACTCCTGATTGCACAAAATTCTGTCCAACCTTTTAAATATGCATGCATCTCCAATTCTTCCATTCCACCAAGTATATTTGCTTCCAGAGAAACCCAAATCATTGAGTTCACATGAGGCAATACATTGAGCAAAATCCAAAGTCTCATTAATGAAGACAGGTAAGCCAACCAAGTTTCTCATCCTGGTTAAGAATTACATTGAAGTAACCACCTACCAGCCAAGGTTTATTATTCTCTGCAATATGAACCAGTGAGTCCCACAGCTCTTCTCATATGTTAGCATCACATTTAGCGTATATGGCAGTCACTATAACCTCTTGTTGACCTCCATCCTGCTTCAGATTAATAGTAATGTGTTGATCAGTATTTTCTATAAGACTACCCTGCCAAGCATTTTCCCAGAAAATCCAAATTTTGCCTGAAGAGTTGGCAAGGGCATTGTTTAGTCCCTATTGTCTACCGTATTCCTCCAGATTTGATGCATCTTGGAATGGTTCCAGGATAGCAATAAATGAATAGTGGTATCGTCTTCTTAGATCAACTAGTCTCTCAAAAGATTCCTGAGAGTTAACCGATCTATATTCCAAAATAGTGCCTTCTCAATCATTGAGAAACAGATTTAGATTTGGTACTCCTTGTTGATACTCCCATAGGGCCTAGGGGGAACACTTCTGTTTCGTGGTGCTTTCTTTCTTGCATCACTTTGTTGCAGATTGTATAAATGTTTTGGTGACAAATCTGCCTCAATGCTAACTTTTGTAATATTTTGCTGAATCTCTGAGATCTTCCTGACGATTAATGTTGCGATCTCCATTTTGTTGTTCTACCTGTATGCCTGGATCAAATTGATTATTGATGTTCTCATCTTCATCAGGTGGGTCTGAAAGTCTACTTTTTACTATGTCTTCTACCTGACTATTGCCAGCTTTTCCTGTGTCAATCATTCGCATATTTTCTCTCTCTGTATGTGTTTCATTATTCTGTAGCTGATCTTCTTTCATCCCTGTATTTGTGATCTGTCTTTTTGTGTCATTTAGTTGTTCTTCAAGTTTTTAGTAGATTTGAGACGATGTGACTTAACCTGTTCAGCATACATATAAATCATGCAGGATTTGAACTGGTTATGTCCTTGCCATAATTCTCTCCTCTTCACTTTATGCAACCAAGTTTTCAAATCATGGCCATTAAATCAGGGAACCAATGTGACAGTCCTAGAGGTGGTGAGGGAAGGTCCATAACACTATAGATCAACTCGAAGGTTCACGTTGCTTTGAAATTCAGCTTTCCTCTTTAGTCCTGACTCCTGAGGGTCGAACCTTGAGAGACCATTGACCTAACCAGATATAGGTATATCCTTCATATATATCTTTCCTGTAAAATTCAATCAGCTTCTGTTTTTTTCACGGAAAAGGAAAAAGCAGTAGAGCTTCTTGGAGTACTGACACTTTTAGTTGGTGCAAAGCTTTGACACCATAGTTGCCTAGCGACTTTAACTCCTGCTTGCTGATCGAATCAGCCTATTGAACAAGCCTTCAAAAGCTCTTCTCTGATCAATCTTGTTTCCAATGTCATTGCCTATATTTTTGTTGTTGCATTTTCTGTTAATTTACAAAGGCTGGAAATGCTGCTTTGTAATCTTTCTTCTGTTATATAGAATTCTTTCGATTTCACCTCATGTCGCTGTATAACCATGCTCAAGTAAAATAGCAACTCTCTGATTCTTTATTAATTTTGGCTAAAGTTGTGAATGTGAGACATTCAATTCTTCTGTTTCTTTTCATCTTGTAACTGTTACTTGGAAAATCAAGATGTACTACTAACACAGAGTATTATAGAATTATGAAGGTAGACCTCAGCTTCCCTTCAACACCCGATGTATCTGGTGAAGCTAAGAATCTCATTAGCCAGGTATATTGATTAGTCCTTGTCTATGCTTTAGCTCTGTAGGAAGAAAAAATGGCATGCAATAGTTGCACAACACTGGCGCAACTACATATGACGTAAGGGTGGTTAGTTGAACACCCTTGGTATAATGCTGTGTATATAAGTAAAAAGTTAGTTTTTATAGATTTATGGCTTCTCCACTGACTGCACTCCTTTCTGATGGTTTGTTTACCTTTGCCCTTTGCAGCTTCTTGTGAAGGACTCTTCTAAAAGGCTGTCTCTTCAAAAGATGATGGAGCACCCTTGGATAATTAAGAATGTCACATGACACTATAATGTGAGTCTCGTCGCCAATTTGCATCGTTTAGTTAAATCCCTGTTTGTTGTTTCTAACTCTTTTTCCTATTACATAATATGAGATCGCTTCAGGTATAATATGCATATATTAAAAAGTCACTACATGAGATTTACTTTAGTACTCTAATCTGGCTGTTTGAGATCGCTGACTAGCTGTTTTGCAAGTGGAAACACAACAGTATCTACTGACGAGGTGTTATGAAGTTAAAACGAAATGCTTAACTAGTTTTTCCGTCCATGATCCAACTCTGGTGGGTTTTCCATTACACTTGAACGTGAATTTATTATTAGAATAATGCTGATAAACATTATGTTATGTTCTCCAAATAGCATCGATTTAAGAACAAGAGACGGACTGAGAACTGAACAAGCATGTCTGTGACAAGTTCAAGTTCATTTTTGCCAAGGATTAGTGTTATACGATATCACAATTCAGACAGCAAAGAATTGCTGCATCCAATGAATAAAATAATGAATAGTTGTTTTTTAACAGTGAGGCCTGGCTCAGAACATGTTGAGATCAAGTTTCTATTATTTATTTTGATTTCGACACGTGTGGTCTTACAAGTAATGGTGTACTGTACCATGACTCGGTAGTTTTTTTAAAATATTATATGACCTAAATATTAATTAAATTAAATACATGAAAGGGTCAATCTATATATAAAGTTAAATATAGACAATTTGATGTGACACCTCTCTATGGCCAGCATTTTCATTTATTTTTTTCTCCTTTTTTTGAAGTTTTATATTTATTTTCTATTTTTTATTTGTATTTTAAAAAAACTGAAAACATTTAAATGAATTACCCAATTAATCATGTTCTTTAAAACTTCCCTCACATTAATATACATTTATGTAAATGAACATGAAAAGACCAAAAACTTTTCATTTTTCATAACTGTTTATATTATTTAGCCTATAAAATAAACATGTTTGAGTATTTCTAACCCACAACAATGAACTCCTCTTTTCTTCGATTCTTCTTTTCTTATGATGATAAAGAAGAATATACGCATATCACCAACAATAATGAACTCCTCTTTTCTTCATTTCTTCTTTCCTTCTTTTCTTATGATGATGAAGAAGAATATACGGATATCAAATTTCTAGGCCTTCGGATTTCTTTGATAAAAGAGAAAAAAAGAAGTATATCATGATGCTTCCGAAGATATTGGTAGGAGAAATGTTGTATTGAGAGAAAAAAATTGATTTGGTATATCAAATTTTTAGGCCTTCGAATTTCTTCAACAAAAGAGAAAAGAAGTGCATCATGATCCTTCCGAAGATATTGATAGGAGAAATGTTATATTGAGAGAAAAAAAATTGATTTAGTTGAAAAATTTATAGGAAGAGTGATTATTGTATCAAGGGGTAATATAATTATTTGGAGAAAGAATCCATCTATTTATGTATTTCATATCAAATTAGGAGAAGAATAAGTAGAAAATATGTTGTGATTTGAAAGGAAACGAAATTAATGTTGATATTATTTCTTTCAACTTAATTATTTTATTAATTCGTTTCTTCTTTTATTTTGTCTTGATTTTTTTTATGTGTCTTTAATCAAAGTTTATTTTATATATACTATGATTGGTATTCTAATTATTTTTTGATAGTTTTTTTTTGGCATTTTTTTTAGTAATTTTAAAAGAAAAGATGATCATATTTGAATCATTTTATCATCAATGCTATTAATTTCTTTTACTTTCTTCCCTTAATTTCATAACTAATATTATTTACTATATCATTTCCTTAAATAACTTTTTTAATTATTTAAAGAAATAAGTTATTTATATTTAATAATAGCTAAAATAAAAATGTAACGTGATACCCTTTTTAATCTAGCATTGATACTTATTTATTTTTATCAATAATTTGACATTTTTCTTAAATTTTCATTAAAATAATTACTCAAAAATGAAGTTACTCTTCCAAAAAAAGTATGCCTCAATATTTATTTTATTTTTTGGCCTTTTTACTAATTTTAAAAGACTGAAAATTTTTCCTTAAAATTTTATAAAATATAAAAAAAAATGACCATATTTAAGTACTACTATATGCTATTAATTTCTTTTACTTCATTTCCTTAATCTCATCATTAATAGTATTTATATTATTTCCATAAATCACATTTTCTCCTTTCTTTGTTTATTTTATTTTAATTATTTATTCCTAGAAATAAGTTATTATTATAACTTAACAAGAATAGCAAAACAAAATTTACATAATTATTTATTTATATCAATTATTTTGAAATTTATAATAATATGATATATATATATATATATAAAATTAAATAAAGTGATGACATCATTCTTAGTCTAGCATTTGATATTTATTTATTTATATCAATTATTTTGACATTTTAAATACATTTTTATTAAAATAATTGCACAAAAAATGAAGTTACTCTTCCAAAAATAATTATGCGTCGATATTCATTCAATTTTTATGACATTTTTCCTAATTTTAAAAGATTGAACAACTAAACTAAAATGGTTGATTCATTTATACATAGTTTGGTAGCATAGTTTGGTAGTGAATGATATATATAAGTTAAACTTTGTCTTTTCATCTCCCATCTTTTAATATATTATTGCTCTACATTAATAAAATTAATTAAGAATTATAAAAAATTGAAGGGGGGTGAATACATGCATATACATTAAAATCTATAATAAAGAAGACAATTATAGTGGAAGGTGAAAAGTTAATTGAGTTGAATACATAAATGGCCTTGTTGTACCTCACTCTCGTCTTCAATGGGGTCTGCTCTTTCTTTTTTGGGAGAGTATGCCAATATGATCTTAATGAGGTGCGGGGCTTTGCATCTGACATTCGTTGGGCTTCTCTCTTCGGGAGCCTGCGCCCGGCCTTTTTTGTGCAATAAACCCCTTCAGCCGAAGACTAGTGGTAGGTAAATATTTTTTTTAATTTTTTAAAAATAAAATAAGTAAATATTTTTTTCTCCCATATTTTAGACATGCAAAATTAAATACTGAAATTAATAAATATGAAAGATTAGATAATTATGAGTATTTTATTAATATAATTAAAAGAGTATCATTTATAAATGTAGAGGTGTGAGTTATAAAAATGAATTTTTTAAAAATAATTTTTTTGAAAAAATAGAAAAAAAAAGAGAAAAAAGAGATAAATATAACTTTGTCTATATCTTATTTTATTTATTTTTGTATATATAAATAACAATTACGTTTATAATAGATGAAGAGTTTTTAAAATAACTAATTGTGAAAAATTAGGAAAAAATCGAAACAAAAAAAGAGAAAAAAGAGATAAATATAACTTGGCTATATATCCGATTTTATTTATTTATGCATATATAAATAACAATTACGTTTGTTATAGTTTAATTACAATTATATTTGTAAATGTTTTTTAAAATTAAATAAAGAAGTTAAAAGAAAGTGGAAAGATATAAATAGTATAATATTAATGAGGAAAGAGAAATTGTAAGTGTGTAGGTATTTTCTGAAATTTTTAATTTGGTAAGAAAAAAACGTAAAATGAATAAGGAAAAGGAGGGAATTAAAAGCACAATTATTTTGGTGAGAAAAAAAAAACGGAAAATAAAGAAGGAAAGGGAGGAATCTTAGGAAGATATAAATAGTGTAGTAATAATGAAGAAAGAGAAAATTTAAATCTGCATTTTTATTTTTTTTTAAAGAATAAATTATGGGAATAATTCAAAAAATTGACAAAATAGATAAATGATTCTGGCAAAAGAGAGGTGCCATGTCAGACTTTTAGTGTTATCGGCCTTTTTCCCCAATTACGATCGTTTTCTTATATTTATTTATGAAGAAATAAAAATTTATTGATAAATATTATAGTTACAAAGTTGTTTATCCTTTGATTTTAGATCTTCTTGATCTTTTTATGAATATTCCAAGAATTTATGAGATATTCGAGATTTCTTTAAGAAAGACGATATTGATATTTTTATGATTTCTCTGTGAATATTCAAAAGTTATAGGATATTTGAGATTTTAATCTTTATAAATATCTAATAATTTATGAGATATTTGAGATTTTAATCTTTATAAATATCTAATAATTTATGAGATATTTGAGATCATTCAAAAACAATATTTAATGTTTTTATGATCTCTTCGCGAATATCTAAAAACTTATGGAATATTCGAAATAGCAGAATTACTTCGAAAGTATCTTTTTCATATCCCTCTAGCATACGAAAAACACAAAACTTTCATATGAAAGGCATAAAAATTGATATTTCGTAAAAAAATTACATTAAAAATTAGAAATAATAAATACACAAGAGAGCTCAAATATCAATTTTGTATAGAAACTGAATAAATTATGTAATCCAAACACTATATAAAGATGAAGAAGTTATAAGCGAATATCAATGATTTCATATATCAGTATGTGGATGAGTTTTGATTTTCAATAAAGAATATGAAAAATTTGGACAATAAATGATAATAATTTTGACCATTAGTGCTATTAACTTCTTTTACTTTCTCCCCTTAATCTCATTATTAATGTCATTTATATTATTTCCTTAAATCACTTTATTTTCTTTTCTATTTTTTTTTGTTATTTATTTATTCCTAAAAATATGTTATTATAACTTAATAAGAATTACTAAACAAAATTTAATATATATTTATTTCAAGAAATTAGTTATTATAACTTTATATGAATTTTATATATATATATCTTTTATATCATTTCTCCTGCTTATTATTTATATTTATATGTAATAATATCTAAAATAAAAAATGGGATGACACCCTTCTTAGTCTAGCATTGATATTTATTTATTTATATCAATTCTTTTGATATTTTTTTACACATTTTTATTAAAATAAATGCTCAAAAATGAAGTTACTCTTCAAAAAAAATTATGCATCAATATTTATTTTATTTTAATTACACTTTTCCTAATTTTTAAAGACTGAAAATTTTACATTAAAATTTTATAAAATATCAAAAACAACCATATATAATTCCTATGATCATTAGTGCTATTAATTTCTTTTACTTCCTTCCTTTAATCTCATCATTAATATTAGT